CCAAAAGGAGAGTATAGTCATTAGTCAGGATCGATGGTAGTGCTCTAATAAGTCTAGGTCTTCGCGCTGAATATGTATTGGGGAGGAAGTGACAATTGAATTTGAATATTGGATGTTAGATATGATAACGATAACGGTTATAAATATTGAAAAAGGTTCTTAGAGCAAGACTGTATTAAATATCGATGAAACGTGAATGGCGCGTGTGAAATCAGATCCCCGCACGACAGGGTCGATAGGGACTTAGGAGTGGTCGTTCTTTGAATGAAGAATTCAATAGCGTGAAGATTGACAGAGAGTTCAGAAAGAAAAAGGTGAAGTGACAAACGTAGAACGGAAAAGTCGAAAACTATCATAAATAGTGCAGTGCTTTAAGATGTTCCCTTCGGCATTTGCAGAAATATGTATTTAACTGTGATAACTCTCATGCCAACACTCATATGTCTATAGGTTCTACGACGAAACTTACCGTAGCCTATTTTATTCTTGCGTCGTTTACTTTAAATTTACCTTCTTTCTTTCTTTTTTGTAATCCCATTATATCGAGCGACTTGATAAAATATCTCCATTATCGCCCGAGTGTAATGCTATATATTTCGTTATATCTATAACGCGCGGCGCTCAGAGACACGAGTATAATAATTTAATAATTTCGGAACACACGGTGTACTTAATTCGTGGTTTGTCAATGCGTATATTCAGCAAAATATCGCAATTGCGAATAAATGGAAAAATTTAATTAGTAAGAAGAATTTGGAGTAGTCAGCAGGGATTGATTGATAAGGGTTGGATTGAGTGATGGGCAGTTGAACGGCGGGCGGGAGGGGGTACAGATGAACTAAATAATAATATGACGCACGCATTACCCCTCGCACGTGTAACAATTGGTCCTTGGGTATCGTGTTATCGACCGTGCATACGTAGGCTATAGTTGTTGAGCATTCATCAGGGTGTTAATTAGCGTGGTTAGTCGATCATTAGATAGATAGATAGCGGATGTTAGTTAGTTACGTGTCTCGCCGCAAGGGTGGCCTGAAGGTCTCTCCGAGGGGGAGGAGGTTGAGAAATATTTTTGACAATTTCGTTAGGACTCTTCATGTACGAGAGAAGGGATGACGATTTAAAGAGAAAATAATGCTTAACCCTACGAATCAGACAGCCGCGTGTCAGAGCGGTGCTGTAACGTGATAAGCGTGATAATGCTAAATAACAGGGAACGGAGAGACGCGATCGCCAAGCCTGTCTGTAATCGTATTGTGTAATAGAGAAAGATAAATGCCGCATACACCACTGTCATGGTAATACTGAATTACTAGGAGATAGCTCTATCTAGTAGGTATATGTCCGACAATCCTACTTTAATTGCATGTGATACTATATATATATATGCATTATATATGTATATATATACTATTGAATATACATATACGCGGTAAACGGTTAAAACAAAAAATATAATAACGATAATATATTGAGTATATAGTATAATAATATATGAACTGTAAACGGATAGCGTGGTAACGGAAGAAGAAAAAAAACGACCAATGTTAAGCTCGCGCAATTCGCCAAGCGTATATTAATTGATATACAGATATATGTAATATCTTATTTGCGTCGACGTTCATTCATGCGTCGGTGTATAGGTTACGTTCGGTGTTACACGGCAGTTTGACAGAGCGACGGAATCGGAATGTGAATTCAATGAGTTAGGAACAGACGGAATATAGTATTATGAAAGGATGCGAAAGAAAAGGAAGTAAAGGCAACGAGGGAAAGGAACACATGATAACAAGAATTCTTAAACTCTACACCAGATTAGACACGCGCACACAGTTTCGACGACACACGCACAGGCAAACGCGCTACACTGACATTAAATATTGAAAAAAAAGGGTGTTTAATTAATACTAATTGTTGCTGTTACGTATTTAAATTAACGATTAACGACGGGAATATAAGGTATGTTTGATGTAACTCTGATCTATTCGGTGTTACCACTCGCGCTCTGGTATTAAAACTTTTTCTATCGTTATCGTTTGAAACTCGTCAAAGGAAGAAACTTACTAAACTATGATATATATATATATAATATTTAAAAGAAAAGAAGAAAATGTAAAAGAAAAAAAAAAGAATTTGACTCTGTACCTCGTGAATATCAACGAAACGCAAAGGCCGCTTCGTCATTCGTTTTTCTGATTTTTTTTCTTTCTTTTTGAAAACGTGCTGCAAAACATAATTGTTAATACCGTACGCTCGTGTATGCGCATGCGCGTACGTACCATGTCTTACCTGTAGGCGCGTGCGCATGCGCGTACAAAATGTACGTTCAGTTTACCGAAGGCAAAAGGATCTCTCGTATGGCAATTTATTTAAATTAATATATGTAATATTGTCAATCGGCACGCGGCATTGTATAAAAATGAGAATCGGGAACCACTTTACTGGGCAGGAATTCGCATTCTTTGACTCTCTCATTTATGCTGAACAAGTCGCGATGCCACTCACGTTGCATTTTTACCTGGCATTTTCACATGTAAGACTTTTTATGCAATTAAGTATGCTAGAACGTGAAGCTATCTCGTGCGCTTTGAAAGTCACGTGACCGACAGGTCCTCGTCCGCCATTAATGCCGCATATTCTTAATATCGGCCACCGACCTGAGAATCCTTTTGCGCCTGACGAAAACTTCGGTCGACCGGCGGCTTCGCCTTCCAATGTAGTCGTAAAAAATAGATGGCTCAATGTGAAATTACAAGTCTGGTTTATAAGAGTACTATACTAACGTTATACATTAATATCTGAAGAAAAGCTATATCGGGTAGTGACTATAGGTGCGAATGGATATCTATTGTGTCTGATGTGTGTGTGTGTGTGAGAGAGAGGGAGAGAGAGAAATGATGCGTTCAAAGTGAGGAAAACAGAAAGTTAATATATTGCATTGTATACATATTGTGAGTGTATCGTCTACGTTATACGCTTTTTGAGGTACGAATCGAATTGATAGAACTTGTCCTAGTATGGAATGATAAGCGAATGATGATCATGACGAATGAGTGAATGAGATAAAATGTTATGTGGGCATGTGCTGCAAGAGAGATATATAATATTTGCGTGCATATCAACACGGTATGTCGGGCGCGGCCATATTCTGACTCGATTGACAAAGAAAGGACCAGTATTTAGCGTTTGCAACGTTATTGACGCCGACGCGATGAACTGATAGTAGCTAGAAATAACTTTCGCCAGTACTTGCTGATGGCCTGATGACGATAACACGTCAAGAGCGCTTTTTACATTACTGATACGAATCGCACAGTGGATTGGATGCGCTTCCTTGTGCCTGACGTCTCATGCATACGATACAATTCAGCACTGACATTGGTTGGCTGCTTTTTCTTGGGCACAAATCTATTATTTCTTTTATTTTTTTATTTTTTATTTTTTTTCAAACGCGATTTTGTATATCGCGTCTCTACTCCAGAGTCTAGACGAAAGCCAACGGAATATGGCCGGCCTGACGAGGGTACCTTACCTAATTATTATTATACATATATTATACATATACATATATATATGTATACATTTGCGTACATATATACATATATATATTCTATGCATTATACGATTCACGTCCGCTTTTTAATACAAAGACCATGAGATTGCTCGAGGAGGGTATTTAGTAAGGGAGTAGGTAGGGGTTGGGTACGGGCATCCATAAAATGGGAAATATTACGAAGAAAAAAGAGGGGGGGAAGGGAGAAACGAAATTATTCAGACTGATTAAAATTTAAAATTTTTTCTTTGAATGTTTCGAATACGCGTGAGTGGAGAAATTGTAAATGGTATTAATTTGTCAGTGCGTCCCTGTTGACGCGTCGAGACACTAATTGTACATAGTTTGACGCTTTTTCACGAGAGTAACCAATCCTTTGGATCCGTAGGTCCTGTTTAGTCGAATTTCCACATAAAATTTTTGCGATACTCCCGACAGGTCAGTGAGACTAAAATGACAATGGTGATTAAGGGAGACGAATATCGCGTACCTCATACGTTTCATACAATTATTATTCACAGCTATGGTGATCTTTTTTTTTCGTTACTTTTATTTCGTTTTCATTTTCGTGAAGAAATTTTTTTGGATTTCACCAAATCGGCGAAGGTACCGCCGGAAAGATGAATTGTCGATATCGCTTTTACCGATTTTACTCTGTGCTAGATTGAAATGAAGCCTAGGAAAAAGAAAAAAGATAAAATCGAGAGAGGGGGAAAACGTTAGGTGGTAGAAAAAATATGTAGGATAACAAGTAGATTGTATTTTAATTAGTTTTTTTTTTCTTTCTCTCTTGTTGGCATCTACGAGATGGCCCAAGAAAAGGTGTCTCTCTGTCGAATATATTTATAAACGTTGCGTGTTTTAATCGTTGGTCGGGCGTGTTTTTTTTATAGCAAAAATGTTCTAAACGGGTAGATAGGACGCGCAGATGAAATATTAGTCAATGATAATCGATGTATCGGTGTTTAGAATTGTATAGGATCCTTAGACTGTTTTTTGTTTTTTTTTCGGATTTTACGTGTTTTTGAGAATTTGGACGTCTGACCCCTCAATCGAACTGTCATCGATAAGGAACCCTGTAAATGAATTTAAAAAGTTATATCCAACCTATTTTCTCAGGGATAATGGCAATGGCAGTGTGACATGATAGCAAGCTGATAAAGATGATAATGATAATACTCGATTCGTGGACCACTAAAACACTATACAACGACTACATTACAATAATATTTGAATAGAGTGAATCTTTAATGGCACGATGACATAAATTTACGAATATTATCGTTAGGGATGGGAGAAGGAGGAATATGAGAAAAAGCGATAAGGGAGAGATAGAGAAAAAGATATGAGAAAAATGGTAAAAAAAGGAGAAAAATTACCAAAAAAAAAAATTGAAGTTCGATCGAGGCTAAAACGCGAATTTCTAAAAAAAAAATTATTAATCTGTTTTAATCGGATGACTGTAGTGACGTTTAGGAAATTTGAGTCGATGAGACGTAACTCAACGTAATAATAATAATAATAATAATAAGACCCACGTTGTATACCATTATCCGTTAATTACCGTAATCTGTCCCCAATACACACGATCGCTATGCTTGACTACGTACTGATTAGAAGAGCGCCTATAATTTCCGGCCTAGAGACACATGAAAATGATGATAAGGATGAATTTTCGTGATTACGAATTTTAGGTAATTTTGAGACGAATTTGTTAAAGAATTATAAACACGACTAGACCAGTAGCAGTGATAGGGGAGATGAAAATAAAATCTCAGCAGGTTATCCGATCGTTTATCCTAGCGAGCTGATTCACTTAGGTTAGAAGGGAAATAGAAGGGAAATAATGAAGGTTCAACGATGCTATTTATCCTTAACGGACTTTTGCTCCTTTTAACGGAATTGTAGTGACAACGTCTTCTTCTTGATTCTTCTTGATTCTTCTTGATAGGTGCTAAGACGCTCGTCTGTATCCGCATAATAGAAGAGAAAGATAATACAAAGTGGGCTGTAGAAGTCAATAGATCAAGAGAATATGTAGTTTTATCGTGACAGTTAGTATTTCTTCTTTTTTGTGCTTTTTAATAAGAATTTGGAAAAAAAAGGGTAAGGTGGCGATTTTGTCAACGGACTGTAGTAGCGAGGGTAACTGGTAATCTTGCCACTCGTGAATAATCGTTGTTAACTAGTTGTTCTTGGTGTAGTTTTTTTTTTTTTTTTTTTTTTTTTTTTTTTTTTTTTTTTT